CCCAGCCAGCACCCACCACCAGCACCACCGCCCGGCACCAGCAACCCGTCTCCGCCACGTGCACAGCCAGCTCACAGCACCACGTATACAGCACCAATACCGGCACCCGGCAACAACACCATCAACCTATCTCCACCACGTGTACAGCCAACTCACAGCACCCAGCACCATCACCACAATCCGCACCAGTGCTCGGCACCGGCACCCTGTTTCCACCGCCCATCAGCACCGGCAACCTGTCTCGAAAACGCGCGGACAATTCATTGTTATTTGAAGTAAGAACTCCATAGCTTTGCTATCTAGGCAAAAAAGATCGCCCCATATATGCAAGGTATAGCACCAGCAACCTATCTCCACCAGCACCACAGCCCGCACCAACGCTCGGCACCGACACCCTATTTCCACCGCCCACCAGCACCGGCAACCTGTCTCGAAAGCGCACGCAAGCAACTCATTCTTATTTAAAGTAAGAGCTTCATAGCTTTACTATCTAGGCAAAAAAGATCGCCACATATATGCAAGCTATACCACCAGCACCAGCATCCGGCAACAACAACCTATCTCCACCGGCGCCGGGCACCACCACCAGCAACCTATTTCCATCACGTGCACAGCCACCGGCTGCCTCGAAAGCACGCGCGAGCACCTCATTTTTAAGTATTTAAAATAAAAATTGATAATTTCGTTATTTAAAGAATTATTTAAAATAAAAATTCCATAACTTCGTTATTTTGAAAATTATCATAAAATTTCTATATATAATTATAATATCTTTCCAAAAATATTGTTTTTTATATTTTATATTTATGTAATTTAATATAATTAACTTAACTATATATATAATGCATTAATATATTAATTGTTCGATGCATTTTTATAATTTTTATTTAAATTAATTAAAATATATATCAATAAATTAATCTAAAAAATACAATTTAATTATTCTTTATAATTATATTTAAAAAAAAAAATTAATATATTTATATCGAATTATTTATTTATATAATATAATAATAAAGTTCCTTTATATAAATCTAATTAATATTTCCAATTCCAATCGATTATAATTAATATAATAATTATTATATTTCTTTTTTTCAAATGGTAATATTCCTTGCATCTATAAATAATATCTTTACATCCGTTTATATTTATTTATTGGGATCGAATTCATAATTCAATAATCCTCGGTCTACGGGTACGACTTGAGCCTCAACCAGCCAACACATCGATGTAGAGATCAGGTTTGGCCTCCACCAGCTCTCTCAAGACTTGAAGTCCTCTGGGCCCAATGTTGTTTTGGGCTACCTGGAGTTTCTCCACCTTGTCGCTATGAAGCAATCTTGCCACAATCTCTTGCACATCATCATCTTCAAGTCCGCAAGACTCCATTTGGTACGAACGTGCGTTCGTATTGGCGACTGCCACAGCTGCATTCCTGGACAGGAGATTGCCAGTGACGACAATCTCATCTAAATCTGCGTAGAATGGCAAAGCAGCACAAAGGACGTTGAGAGCATCCTCATCCAAGTTTTCAGCCATCAACTGCCGGGTGGTCAAGACCTTCTCCGCAAAGACTTGAGCCTGAAGCTTCATGACGAGTTCTTTGTCATCATGGTGGGTAAAACGCAACCCTTGCTCCTCCATTTTTTCACGAAAGAGTCCCGGTTCCATAGGCACAGTCCCAGTGTCCAATGACATCCTTAAGCTGGACCACTGGAGCTCTGCCTGGCACCAGCCTCTCTGAGAGTAAGGTGTTGGATTGGCCTTGAGTTGGTCAACAAAGACGGGTATGACGCGTCCTGCCTGCCCTGAAAAGACCTCTACAGTTCCTGGACGCTTCCACGTCTCAGGAGTGAGCTCATCCACTATCCGGACTTTCGTAGCCTCATGGGCGTACAACGTGTGCATGTGCTCCAAAGCTTCTCTGAAACATTTCTCCTGAGGCCTAGTTCGGCCACCGTACTGATAGAGGGAGATGAAATCATAAAACACCCAGATGGAATGCGTCGACGTCAGGGGCGGACACATTTGGACGATCTGCTGGAGCTGAAAGCCATGTGGGTCTGGATGCTCCATGCTCTCCCAGGGATGAGAAATCGATTCGATCAGCACAGTGACTCTGTGGGGTGAAGGGTCTTTGACATAGATGCTGAGGTTGCCAATGGTATCAATCTCCACCCTCTCCAGCTCTGATGGTCCAACAAGTGCAGGAAGACCAGCAGCTGTCAACTCAGCTTCCGCCTCTTGCCTGCGAAGGAACCTTCGGCCTGTGGCTAGAAGCTCATGTAAGTACTCCAGTCGCACCAAAGCGATGTTTGCATCCAAGAGGAACTGGATGAGCTTGCGGGGGTCTTGCAGGTCGTACTTGCCTCAAACAATCAAAGAACACTGCTAATCCTGAGTCTCATTTATATATTCTTCAGTCTGGCACTTTTACAGGGTCCGGCGCCGGACTCCCAACGCCCAACTCCGGCGTTTTTCTGGATTTGGTCCGGCAGTTTTTCCAAGTCACTTTATGTGGATTCTCAAGGCTTTGCATTCTTTGTGGTCCGCATTTCTTTGACGGTAAATCCACTACTGACAAATAAGTTTGCTTGAGCGTGTGCTCGTTTGCCTGTTCCGCTGCTTTCTCATTCCACCGGTTTCAGCAGTGGTTCACACTGGCTCAATCAGATCGTTTAGCTGATCTTCTACATGAGATCGATACAGTGCGATGCACGTGTTGAAAGACGCAAGTGGGTGTACCTAAGCTGAAAGAACATAGGCGATAATGTATTCCTATTGTTTCAGGATGTCGGGGCGCTGGGAAATAGTTCTAGCTACGCAGGTTTGCAGAGCCTGCTGGACAAGTTTTGGGTTGTGGAACGTGTGTTGTTCAGAATCTCAATGTTTTGCAGAGAGTTGCTCAAAAAAAGGCGCGTCGTAACTCCGGCGAAAATTCCCGTAACTCCGGCGTAATGTTCCGTAAATCCGGCGTAATTTCCCGTACTCCGGTGTAATTTTCCGGACTCAGTCTGTTGAAGGTTTTGAATCTTGAAGGTTTTGACTGGAACCTTGAGTTCTGCTACTGCGTTTATTAGGGGGTCGAGGTCTTGAGGCAAACGCCAAAAATGCTGGAAAGCAACCCACCTTGTAAAAGAGCTTTAAAGACACGGTTGCAGAGAAAGAAAGGTTCCTAGCCACATACTCCTTGGTTTGTTTTTGGACGTCTTTGCTTGGGCACACGTTTGCTTATATTTTGTGACTGTTCTGCTCTTAGGCATTTCGGAAAGGGGAATGAGAAGGCTGCAGCGATCGGGTTGTGGAATGAGTGTGTTCAAAACTACTCGTGGCGCAAAGGCAGTTTGCTCGTGTATGATCCAACCTTTCATCATCTCTGTTTATTTTCAGAATCTTGGATCCGGATGCTTTTTCAGGTTCTCGGTGTTTTTTTGCGGAATCCGGCGGAAAATGTTGCCGGATTGAGGTCCGGCACTTTTTTTAGCCCAAAGCAGGATCCAAATATATATTGTAATCAAACCTTCCCAGGCTTCACACCCAGCTAAATGTTGAAGCCCTATCCTATCCATACAGGCCATTATAGGCCTATAGATCTCTTACATTCTGCACCCGGGACAAGACCACTCCAAAACGATCTGAACAGTCTTATCTTGCGTGACTGAATCCATCTGCACTTCACCACTCATCCACGACGCCCTGACTGAAAAGTGGCTGTTTTTGGAGTTGCTCCTACATCCTCCACACCCGGCATTCGGCACCCGGAGTTCGTCCCCCATGCCACGTCCACCCTGGACCTCCGAGCCGCTGCGCCAGGTGCGGGCGGCGTCCAACTCCCCTCCGACCTCTCCGACCTCGGCACAGGCGACCTCCGTGCGGCCCGCCCGAGGGTCCGAAGAAAGAGAGGAGTCAGTCCTTGGACGTTATATTTTGTCTTTTTGGGATGGAGGTTCTACTAGTACAGAGTATACATCATGAACTCCCTACAGCTTGGATGGACAAATCTACAAGCAGGCCTTTCCTTCCTGATTGTAGCGCACATGTCAAACAAACATATTCTATGATCCTTCAAACACTGAACATGAGATCTCTTCCCCATAAGATCGACCAACATCGCTGCCCATCTTCCGGACATGTGCATCGCCGCCGATCCAAACCGTTGAAGGTCGCTCCGACCGCTTGTCTGCGCGTGTCTTCGCAGGGCCTCAGCGATGGCAGTCACGGACTCCCCGTACTGGATGCCAGCCTCCTTCAGAGTCATATGGTCCGGCCTGGCTGCAAAGGCTGGCAAAGGGGGGCCCCTGCTACCATGATCAAACAAGAATTCAAAAAACGAAATATAGGTAGGAAATTTGGAGTATTCATGAGTAATTATATGACAAGCTATTTTATATTGGACGTGTTCTACTTTCCAACCACGCTCATTTTCGTCGTCTTCCCCGCATGAGACGTCTTCCCCGCAGCATGGATGAGTGCTGTGCTCAGAAAAAGGGCCACTGGGAGGGATCCAACGGCTGGAACAAAGGGGCATCGCGTCTCGAACGGAGCGATCGGACGCGACTAGCACATAGCTCCTGGCCATACTAACAAGAAGCTACGAACGTCACAAAGTTGCAGAAGTACTTCAAACATTCCCAAACTCCAAAATTCCAGCCCGCCACCCTCGTCAGGATCAGTGAACGAGGAAAATCCTAAGTCCTAGTCTTCCTTGCACACTCCCATCTGCCCAATCCTACAGTATCTTGAGGTTTGATGGAACTTGAGTGGTCTTAGCCGCACTTGTGCTCACACACCTGTGCTCACACAAATTTTGAGTATGTGCTGAATGGCTATTTGGCCGCAACAAAAGCGAGCAAACGCGCAGAAGATGCAAAGTGTCGCCACAGCTTGTGATGAGCTTCCCGATCTGGATCTTCCTCCCAAGCTTGGACCTGGGTTCGACTTCAACAGCAGCGCACGGGCGGCACCGATCTCCATGCAGCGCAGCAAAGGCTCCAAATTTGGTTCTCCATGCTCGATGTTAGGACATTGTTTTGACTCGTAACTCAAGAGTGTGTTCGAACTTGGACCCTCATCTACCTTTTGTTCTATCTGACTTAAACACATGGCTGAGATATTTCTTGGCAGATCAGGTGTGAACTGTGAACCGGACAAAAATGATCACCAAGTCTCGAAGCTCCGGCTGGTGCCAAGTTGCTGGGCATCTTCTCTCAATTCACTGATCCTTTGGTCAGCCACATAGTCACCTGGGTAGCTGTCCAATACTGTAGCAAGTCACGGCTGGCAAGCTAAAACTTGGTCATCTTGGTGACCAGTAGGAAGAACACAAATCTGAATGTGACCCACAAAGAATCAGGTTTGATTGTTCAAAATGTTCAAAATTGTAATATAGAGGGTCCGGATGAGCATGAATATGCCTGATGCTGCCGGTATCCAACCGACCAAACAAAATAGATGCCATATCATTGGAACCTCAACTCATGCAAACATCAATATTGGTGCTATTAATTAAACTATTAACATTACTGTATCAATCTGTATCATATCACCAATCAAACAGGATCACGGTTTCAAAAAAAAGTCGAGACAGAACATCCTGTTCTTCCAACAAACTTGTAGCCAAGCTGCACAGAACTTCATGGCCACTCATCAGCGACACTCTGACCTAAGTGCAAAGCCCTAAGAGGCCAACAAAAAGAAGAAATGGGTATGAAAGGGTCAAGATCCAGATCCAAACATGTCAACAACCTCATATTTCCCAGCCTCATCCAGTCTCAAAGCACCCCCCTGACTGGTCACCATCTCCGGCAGCCAAGGAACGGGACGTAAAACACCCGCCATCCTGTCGTCCGTCGCTGCGTGGCGATATCCCATGCCGTTTCACCTGCACTCTGGTTGGCACAAGGCGGGGGGCGCTTTGACGTCTTCGGCCTTCCAAATCGCTCCGCTTTCGAATGGGATCTACTACAGCAGGTAGCTGAGAGACCTCCAAGCCATCGCTAGACGAACGCTCCTTTGGGATGGCCGCCTTGGGGGCCATCGCTAGCGAAGAGCCACACTAAAAGGAAGAAAGGAAGCGATGGCCCTTTGGGCCGCTTGGGGTTTGCAAGAAACTTCCATGCAACTATAATGGTTCTGATATGTTCTAATGATTGATGGTTCTAATATAGAAAGTTTGAGGCAGGGGCCACTTGGGGCCATGGTTCCAAGAAACTTCCCTTCATCCCCAGCTCTCGGACGCCTTTGTCGTCCATCGCCTCAACATTGGCACCGGCTGCTACGAGCTGTCGTGCCACATCCAACTGGCCATTGTTGGCCGCCAAATGGAGGGGTGTCCAACCTCCCAAATGGCCGTGATGAGAAGATGGAGAAAAACTGCGGGAAGCTGCGAAAGGGGTTGAGATGGCTCCCGTGTGGGTAAGATTTGTCAAGATGATTGGGCTTCCGAAGTCAAACCGGTGGCACCCATGTATTCGACGTTTCAGCTATAGGTGTTTTTTATAGGTGCGACACCTTTGGGGTGTGTCAGAGTGCACCACCCTGAAGCCGATAGAAGCTCCTTCACATGTCCGGTTGTCTGCCAGAAGTCTGGAGGTGGTGCGTCTGAGTGCCAAAGATCGGAAAAAGAGTCCCAGCACATGAAAGAAGCTCAGCTATACATCCCATGCTGTCCGAAGGTCCCGGAAGATCTGTCATCAGCTTTTTGTGGCATTCTCTCTGTGCGATAACAACATGGAGGGGTCCGAGTACATGAACAAGATCCTTTGAGGGGTCCGAAACCTCGAGGGCACGGCAGACGCCTTCACGTGTACACCGCTTGTGCCAGCGGCGTGGCCGTACTCACCCAACGCCTACACAACCTGTCTGCAAGACGATGCTAGAACCTGAAGGATCCTGAAGGAACAGGGCGCAAACAGCTTGAAGTACCTGGAAAGTATCGGTAAACGAGCTCTATACCCCAGCTGGAGCATAACTGTCGAGCTCTGTCCACTCACCCGCTGCGCCTCCATCAGCCTTGGCCTCGAGGTCTGCCTTTGCATCCACCAGCTGCTGAACCACATCAAGGTGGCCGTATCGCACTGCTGCGTGTAGAGGCATAGTACCTGAGCCACGTGAGGCATAGTGTTGGTCAGGGCTTCGGAACCTTTGGCCGCCATGGTCGGACCAAGAGGAGGGACTGATCAGACACATGTTGTTAAGACCAAATTTTTGTTTTGTTTACACAAATGTTCAAAGAGTCTTGGAACAAGTTCGACGTTATTTGAAGTGTTTGCCGTCCGATAGGGCACAAACAAAGGCCGCATGAACATGAACCGGCCCCGCCCGGGCCGCGTCGCGCCTGCATCGGTCATGGCGTGCACATCCGCACGGGCGTCCAGGAGCCTCTGTGTCACTTCGCTGTGGCCGTCAATCACTGCCAAGTGGAGAGGCGTCCGACCTTGGTGGTTTCTCGTCTGTGAAAAAGGCACGCATGGTCCTTCATGGTCACCAGAAACACAGTGGACAGTCACTGGCCGAGCACATCAAGTTTGTTACAATCCTAGTGGCAAAGCATGGTAAACGCTAGCTGGAAGAGAGAAGCCTGGATGCATGCAATCTGCAAAAGACAGCTTGAAGCCTCTGAACTGTTGTGGGATTGATTGCTTGTAATTATCCCCAAGGAAGAAGGATATGATTATAAAATAGATGCACCGTGCCCCTTCTAAGCCTATTCAATCCCCTCTTGATAGCATACTAATCCCCTTGCAGGGTGTTTGACTTGGCGGCCTGATGCGAAGCACATGCGGTGCCACCATGACTCTTCCGCACTGTAAGAATGACAACATAGGGCTTACAGGTCCAGCAACCCCCGAAAAGACCCGCGGACATTCGGGAGCTGGAACGCTCTAAGCCCTAAGCCAACGGTCCGGTCCGGACCGATGGCAACAGCCTGAACAGCTCGCTCGCTCTGAGCTAGCTGGCTATAACTATAGTTTACTGCAACGGGACTCGCTATTTAAAACGGAGTTTCTACTTCTGTGGGAAGGATCGGATACGCTTCAAATATCTTAAATGCATTCAAACAATTATAACAATTTGTTGTGTCATTGCACAGTCATGATCTGTGAACAACTCTGTGTGTGTTTGATTCATATTGGTTCTCTCAAACCTTCTCCTGCTGGGCCCATGCTGGGCCCCCACGCCACGCGAGGTCTTTCCCTCCAATCCAGCGCCAGCGGCAAGGAGACGCTCCACCACGGGGAGGTGGCCCTTCTCCGCCGCAGAATGAAGTGGCGTCCAACCTCGGAATTCGATCGACAGGAGGTGGTGACTTGAATCGAACAAACGCTGCGCGGCGAATGAGCTGTGAAACTATGGCTTAATGCGTGTGTGGTTCAAGGAGAAACACACTCACTCCTAGGGTCACGCTAAAAATTATCGTGGATTCGCGCGGCGATGGTCGGTGGTGCCAGACCCAAATCTTCCAGGTCTGTCAGGATGTCGGTGGCGTTGTGGCACATGATCTCCACTCCATGGACGCCAGTCTCTTGCAGAAAAACTTATACAACAGTAGTTTAAACTATTTACCTATACCCTACCAGTGTCACTAACCCATACCCTACCAGTTGTATACCCTTATCTCTAGTGTGTCACTAACCCTTTACCACCGCAGTCGCTGATCTCTCGAAGTGACTCAACCTCCATGTTTCTTCGGAGTGGCCATGCATTAGACCTATAGACCTATTACGCGGATCTTCCTTCGCCTCGAAAGCTATGGCCCTAAATAACATGTCTAGTTGACAGTGCTTGAGCTACAAAATCACAGACCACAAGCTAGTGAGCTAGTGCTCTGTGCGACAAACCTTGAGGGCTATCCTTCAGGAGGTTCACAATATACAGGACATACACTCCAAAATACTCCAAACAATCATGGAAGTGGATGGCATGGCCCCAGAAAGGCCAGTTTCCTCTACACAGGGGTTTGTCCACTTCCATGTTTGTTGGAGGGAGTGTATAGATATACACACGATCCAACCCTCGTGCCAGCTACCAACATAGGGTTTCTTCGGCAGTTGGGAACCGGGACTCGACCACATTCGCAGATACGGCAGTTGGGATCCTACGCGTTATGCGCAAACACGTTCACAACCGTAACGTTGCGAATCGTTGCCCCACTAACAGGACTGCGCAAGGGTGATGCAAAGGGAATTGGACAATCCTCTACGCATTGTCAGGGCTGCACAAGGAGTTCTCAGTTTGTTAGTCAATGACAGTGAGGAAAGGAATCCGAGACTCCTTTACGCATATTAAATTGCCGCATTGCCACAGCTGCGAAAGAATAAATCGAGGCTTCAGTCAGACAGGGGGGGGCAAGTCCGCCCACCATCTGTGTGGGAAGATTGCCGGACATATTTCTGCCACTTGTCGTCAGTCGAAAGGAAATGAACATGAAGAATGAAGACCTATCTGAATCTCTCGTGAACAAGAAAAACTCTGGAATAAAACATATCGCGGATCTTTCATGGATGGTGGGGACATGTTTGGACAGCGCTCAAAGGTCGGTGTATGTCCAATCAACTCCCATGTCCTTTGTCGAGCTGGTCAAGTGGGTTTCCGGACCCTTGTTGCTGGTTGCATTGACGTCGGCGTTGGCCGCAAGAAGACGCTCCACCACGTCCGTGTGGCCCTTCTCCGCCGCGAAATGAAGCGGCCTCGAGAGACCTCAACTGTGGCGGCGGGGGGGGGTGGCCAAAATGAGTGGCTGCATGGCGTTGCAAGCAACAAAACAGACCTCTATTGAATTGCAAGACTTCAGTGTTCAATTAGGGGGACACTATGCATTGCAAGACTTCTAGTGTTCTTCCCACTTTAAAGATGAATTTGGAGAAGCACGGGCCCTTGATCGAACGACATGAGCCGTCAGCCGAGCCAACCGAGCCAGCCGAGCCAGCCGAGCCAGCCGAGGTTGAGCGTGACGTTCTCAGTCCC